TGTGTGTGTGTGTGTGTGTGTGTGTGTGTGTGTGTGTGTGTGTGTTTTAACTAAACCATTTTGGTTTAGTTTTCATTGGACCTGTTTTGATGTGCGCTTAATTATGCTCATCCAAATGTTCCAGTAAACCTTATTGTGTGTAAGACGACCAGCATATATCAAACCCCGATACACACATATTTTCTCCTGTTATAGAAATGTATGCAAGTCTTTGAAAGAGCTTGCACTTGTGGCTGCATGTGGTGTAGTTTGTGTTAATATGTTACCAGCCAAGGTGCAGACAGAGAAGATTTTCAAAGTTCGGGAGCTTCATCTGTCTTCTTGATGTTTCTAGGTAAGGAGCGCTCCACACTTTGGGACCAGGTGCAATTCTGGGAGGATGCCTTCTTAGATGCTGTTATGTTGGAGCGTGAGGGCATGGGCATGGACCAAGGACCTCAGGAGATGATTGAAAGGTTCCACTTGGCCATTGTTTTAGTTCAGCCAGTGTGATTTATGTTAATTTTCATATGCTTTTTTTTTTCTCTTGGTCTTGGTTTTTTCACTATGTTGCATCACAGTTTTCATATCTACTCCATGGAACTCATTGTGGACTGTGAATAAGTTCTTCTGTGTTGCATGTCGACACAGATACCTGTCACTGGGAGAACATGACCGCAAGCGCCTGGAGGATGATGAAGACAGACTTTTGGCCACCCTGCTGCACAACATGATTGCATACATGCTAATGATGAAAGTATGGAGTGCTTTTTTTCAGTTCATTCAAAGCACAGTAAAACTGTTTGTTAATATACACAAATTTCTGTTTCCCTGTGAATATGTCAGCCTTTGAGGTTTGTGTTTGTTTGTTTTCATGTAGGTGAGCAAAAATGACATCAGGAAGAAAGTGAGGCGCCTGATGGGCAAGTCCCACATCGGCCTCACGTATAGCCAAGAGATCAACGAGATACTTGACAAACTGGCTCAAATGGTAAAAATTTGTATTCGTTTTATTTCACCCAGTTAAACTTCAGTTCATTGTTTTGATGAAATATGTACTGAACTACATTTGCAGAACGGCCGAGAGCTGTCCATCAGGCCCAGCGGAAGCCGTCACATCAAGAAACAAACATTTGTTGTTCATGCTGGCACTGATACTACAGGAGACATCTTTTTCATGGAGGTATGCAAAGTCTGCATTTTATGTGTACTGTCTCCCTAATGACTTGGTCACATTAGAGTAAAAATAAGAGGGCATTCTGCTTGTGACTAGGAAGAATTTGTGGTTTGTCAGATTGATTACTAGTTACAACTTTTTGCTCACAGGTTGAGCACGTAACCGCCGTCAACCTCCGGACAATTGCACAGGTCGCCTGTTGGGAACAACCGATCTCCAAACAATCATTTTCTGACTTGGTCTGATTGTATCAAACTCAGACAGATTGTGTATCTCTTTGCAGCAGGGGACTCAACTGTTACTGGTCCTAGATAAAAGCAAGTTTGCAGAGTGCTTATATTATTTTGCAGTTAAATTGGTGTAATGCAGCAACTGTGTCACTATTTGTGACGTAATTTCAGATGGTTGAGGTTCTGGCTAGACTCTAAATGTAAGTAGATGATGTGCATTTCTGTGTATGCAAATGGCAACAGATTTGTAATTTTCACATTATTATAAATGGAGTTTGTGTAACTGCCGACTTGACCTCCAACCAATAGCAGATTGAGACCATTTCACTGCCAAATTGGCGCACTAAAGTTGCAACCATTTTTGGTTGCAGACTTAGTCCCTGTCTTTGACGTAACCATTTCATAGATGAGATTGGAAGCTCATTACACAGTCGCAGTAATTTTAGGTCATGTTGTGGTCTTAAACCCCTGTTTTCACCAGTGTGCCTGTAGCATAACGCAAAGGTTGTAGCAAAGGATATTTTTCTAACATATCAAATGGTCTCAGAGTGTCGGAAACTTTCCTGAACATAGAAATAGTGTGCTTATTTTACTTGTGCTTTATTGTTCCAGGTTTGCGATGATTGCATAGTCCTGCGCAGCAACATCGGTACCGTTTATGAACGCTGGTGGTACGAGAAACTCATCAACATGACCTACTGCCCCAAGACCAAGGTGCTGTGTCTCTGGAGACGCAACGGCCAAGAGACGCAGCTGAATAAGTTCTATACCAAAAAGGTCAGAGGCTTCTTGTGTCTGCATCTCTTGTGTTAAATTGACTTAAGAAGATTCTAAAATCGAATAACTTTCTGATTGCTTTCCAGTGTCGTGAACTCTACTACTGTGTTAAAGACAGTATGGAAAGGGCTGCAGCAAGACAGCAAAGCATTAAACCAGGTATGGAATGAGTTAGAGCAACCACAGGCTCCTTTTTGCATCTTATTTCATTCATTATTCTCTGTAACATGGACATTGTTTCTTTTGACAGTTTGATTGTTGAGTAGTACAAAATAGTATTTTATTTTGATTAATTAAATATTTTAGAGCAGTCAGTATTGCATAGATATAGATATGTTGATAATAACACAAAACATGGACAGACCTAAAGTTTAATAAAGCACTGCTGCAGTTTTGAAATTTCCAAGTACTTCCAGGTTGTTTAAGGTAAGAAGAACATGTGACAAGCTTTCAGACATTCCTGTTCCTGTGTCCATCCTTCAGGTCCCGAACTGGGCGGCGAGTTCCCCGTCCAGGACATGAAGACTGGTGAAGGTGGACTACTGCAGGTCACACTGGAGGGAATCAACCTTAAATTCATGCACAGCCAGGTAAGAGACCAGTTCTATTGCAAAGAAACTGCGTCTCATCTCACAGAAGGGCATGACAATGTAGAATCACTCATGATGGTTCAGACTTCATCGTCCTTCTGTCCACCCTCTCCGCTCGTCTCTCGTGTTTGCCTCTGAATCATTTCCTTTCATCGTGTGACGTCTTCCTCTATCACTAAGAAAATCCTTACAACACATTTGATTGGCATCTACTCATACCTGTTTTTCCCATAGAGGAAGAATTCCTGTTTGTGCTTTTGCTTTTTTTGGATTTGCCCCCC